TTATCAGCTAAAATGACAGACGTGTTCCTGTACTTGATGAAAACTGCGATCAGTTATCCTCGCCACCTCTACGGCCACGGTGATTACTAGCAATTAGTAGAAGACAGAGAAGGACCGCATGTGTGAGGGTATCCTACAAGTAAAATAGTGACATAAGAACAGAACGTAATAAATCACCATCAACTTGGTTCCTGTCTGTGCCTAAGCTCTGCCTCTTCGCTTAACTACCCATCATGAACTGGAATGATCCAGTTGACGTTTTGAGCTAAATTGAACACCTTATGAGGAAAAAGCAGTCGGCTAGTATAAGCTCGACTAGCCATATGTTTCTCTGTCCAGGAAAAAAGAGACGGGACAATCAAAATAAACATCACGTGCTGGCCTTACAACTTTCCACCCAAGAAGCAGTCTGTGACGTCAACGCCAGACACCCATACATCACACCCTCACACTTAATGTAATATCAGACAATGCCACGCCGACGTCAAATTTAGAATGATCTACAAAAACTGTCCAAGTCGAGCAAAGTCCACAGCAGTTCATCCCGTCTTCAGGTCACCACCTTGCGTTCGGGCCTCCTCTTCAAATGAATTACAAATACCGTATGCAGTAACAATAGTTCGCAACAATGATTTATACGTCCGAGTTTAGCTGTAGATACTTAGCCTAAGGACAAAACAGGGGGCCAAGCGGACGTTTGTGGATTCGTGCATTTAGCCAGGGAACAACTCTTTTCCTACCGTCTGAACTCTCAAAGGCACGTAGTACCAAGAACGTGGAATACGAATAGCATGCTGTCAATCAGACAAATATAGAAGACTTCCCCATCTTTCCATAAGAGCTTCTTTAACGGTAAGTCAAACAGAAAGTCCAGTTTCTTGTCCATGAAATGTATCAACTTTTACCTGTAACTTTGGCTTCCTTCCTGACCAGGGGAGTTCTAGCTATCAACTTCCCCTACGAAGCCATACAACTGACACAAGACGACATCAACGATTTTCCAGTCTTGAGTTTTGCCGCTGCTAATTCAGAGCCCTCCGACGATCCAAAGTGCAAGGCTTTCCCTGGAAGCCTAGACTGGCCAACCGAAGAAGAATGGAATAAGCTCAACGCGTCACTTGACGGTGCACTCTTGAAACCATTACCTCCAGCTTCTGCTTGCTATCCAGGTCCATCTTTCGATGCAGCACAATGCAATTTCGTCATCACTCCGCCTGGCAATACTCGGTTCTTTCTAGATGCTGCTGCTACAACACTCACCCAATGGCCTGCTGGAGACACGTGTGTTGCATCCCGAGATCCACAGGGTAATTGTACCCAGGGTGGATTTCCTACTTATGTCGTCAATGTTACGACGGTTAAGCATGTTCAAGCTGGAGTCAATTTTGCTAGGAACAACAATGTTCGGCTCATCATAAAGTAAGTCCATTGAAATCTGGGCAGGGATAGCTTGTTGACCTCCGCCAAAGAAACACAGGCCACGACTTTGGTGGACGACCTCTTGGTGCGGGCTCTCTCAGTATATGGACACATCATCTAAAGAGCTTTGAATTTGTTCCCGACTTTACCATTGGAGAGTACACGGGCATGGCGGTACGGATTGGTGCTGGCGTAGAAGCTTGGGAATTGTTCAACTATATGGCTACGTACAACATCACTATCGTGGCACCGGGAGGTAGTACTGTAGGAGTAGGCGGTGGTTGGTTTGCTGTTGGAGGCCATGGGGCATTAACCTCTCTTTATGGTCTGGGAGCCGATCAGGTTTTGAGCATCCAAGTTGTGACAGCCGATGGAAGATTTGTGACGGCTGATCCGTTCACGAATGAAGATCTATTCTATGCTCTTCGCGGCGGTGGTGGAAGTAAGTAGTCAACATCCGTCTATATTCCATGTGCTGACTTAGCACAGGTACTTACGGGATTGTCACTTCCGTCGTGATGAAAGCATATCCACCCATCAACATGACGGTCTCGTCCCTGAACTTTAATCTTATCAACCGACCAACTAATCCTTCTACGCCTCTACCGGCCACTTCCATCACAGATCCCGAGATTTTCTGGCAGGCATTCAATTTGTACTCTAGATTTAGCGAAAAGGTTGTCAATGCTGGAGGAATCTGCTTCAACTACATAAGGCCCCAAGGAAACAACACATTCACATTCACAACCTCTTCTCAATTCGTCGGCTTCACACCCACCCAGGTTGTCCAGTTCATGCAGCCATTATACGACGACTTCAACCGTATCGGACTCAACCTCACCAACCCAAGATCCCTCACTTCGTCATCCTATGGATCCCGCCGTCCAGCATCCGGCGCCACTCCCATCAACACACGATATAGATCCCGCTACTTCCCACGCAAGAACTGGCAAAGCGATGCTCTTTTCAACAAAACAATGGATGCCATCAGGAAATCCGTCGAGGCAGGATATGTTTTCCACGGCATTCCTCATGGGCCGAAGCTCGAAATCGCAGGATGGCCTGGACGCACCAACGCTGTCAACCCCGCCTGGCGAAATGCTGTCATGCATGCTAGTCTAATGACTGTCCAGCCTGTTGGACTGACGGCACAGCAAGCTGAAGAGGAGGAAGCAGAAATCCAAAGGTACATGCAGTTGTGGCGGGATGCGATGCCTGAATCTGGAGCATACATGAATGAAGGTGATCCGAGTGAGCCAAATTGGCAGCAGAGTTTCTATGGGGATCATTACGGACGGCTTTTGGAGATTAAGCGAGCGAGGGATCCTTGGAGTGTCTTTTGGGCGAGGACCACGGTCCGGAGTGAGAAGTGGGAGGTTATGGCAGAGGATGGATATCCTAGTGGACAGAATGGGAGGTTGTGCTTGACAGGAACTGAGTGAGGCTTGCTTTAGGGAGAGTGACATTCTGTTACTCCCGGTCGACATTTTGCACTATGAATAGTTCCTGGGTCATGTTTACATAGGTATATAGCTCTCACTCACAAGTCCTTCTGGCGCAAAAGCAAGTTTCAACTCCTCTTGATTCACCGTTCCGTTGGACTTTGGTATCGGCTAGAATGGACGGAAACGTGTCCATATTTACACTCTCTCAAAGCGGTGTCAATGTCGTCAATTTAATAGAAAACATTCAAAAGCTGAATGACTGGAATGGAAAGGTCCACCAGCGATGGCGTTGCACACTGCCGACTACTGGACCAAAGGAAATGCACCAAAGTCACTACAACTGGTAGTCACATCTGTCCACACCGTTTCATACAAGGTTTCAAGATATCAAGTAGTTTTTGCGGAACCACAAAGATGCTTATAAGCGTGTTTTCTTGGTCATACATTTTTGTTCATCTGAATAGTGTCGAAGCGATATAAACAAAATTAGCGAAACTTAGCGAGGGGGGCCTATCTTAGTCGTCAATCTTATGCAAATCGCATAAATGCGGACCAGATAGTAGGAATCTAAATCTAGATATACAATTATCTAAATCTATTATATCGCAGTAAAAGATAACTTACTCAAGTAAAATGAAGTTGATATATAGATAACATACTACGAAAATAACATCTGAAGTGACTTCTACTTAGTAGAGGTGTCGCTTGTCCATCACAAATTGCTGATATTTCGCCTACCACAGCTTGAGAATCTATGTCTTGCCAGATCAAGTCTCCTAGTATGCTTGGTAATCCGAGGCAGCAGAGAAGTTGTTACTCCGGAAGTGGCCTAGCGCTCTCTACCCTGAAAACAAGGCTGAAGAGAAGCCGAGGCTGAGCCTAAAGACCCCTGACGAATCTTTACTCAGCGGTACATAATCAGCTCCCCACTTGTTCCAAGGCTGTAGTTTCTCACCCATAAGTAATGGAAATCTGCAAGTAGAAAAGAATCTTCCTTTTCCTTCCTCGCGCTCTCCTATAAATTCCTCAATTCCTCTCAATGAAGATTCTCTTACTGTTATTTTCTATCACAATCGCATTCCTCTCGGTCGCATTCAGAGATTCAATCGCCACAACCATAGACTTCCTCAGAACCGAGTACTCAAACACCAACATTTCCTCTTTCAAAGGACTTCCACTTATACCACCTCGCGCAATTTACGGAGCACCTAAATCAGCAAACATGACCGTCACACGAGCAATCCGCAAGGCTTTCCTCGCAATTGAGCAGTCCGAGGGTGCGGGCGCCAGAGTTCGCCGCTCCATCGGAACCCCTCAACTACGAAACTTCTCTCCCTTCCTCATGCTCGACCATTTCACAATCAAGCCAGGAGCTGGATTCCCCGACCATCCTCACCGTGGACAGGAAACTATCACATACTTGCTAGAAGGAGCCGTGGATCATGAAGACTTCGCAGGAAACGCGGGCACCATCGAGGCGGGCGACCTACAATTCATGACGGCGGGAAAGGGCATAATGCACGCAGAGATGCCCCGACAGAACGCAGACGGCTCTGCCAACGTCGGAATGCAATTATGGGTCGATTTGCCCGAGAAGCTGAAGAAATGCGAGCCTCGATACCGCGACTTGAGGGCGTCCGAGATCCCAAACATCGACATCGACGACGGCAAGGTGCACATCAAGGTCATTTCCGGACAAAGCCACGGAGTCGATAGCGTGAAGGAACTTGCGTATACACCTGTCTGGATTCTAGACGTCGAGATCAAGCCCGGCGGAAAGATTACCCAGAATTTGCCTGAGGGATGGAATGCGTTTGCCTATACTTTGAGCGGAAGCACATCCTTCGGAGTTGGAGCCGACAAGACTTCTGTGGGACAGTACCACAATGTTGTTTTTGAACAAAAAGGAGATCAGATCTATGCTGAAGTTGAGGAGGGTGCCAAAGAGAATGGCCGTTTCTGTAAGTCTTTGCATTCTTTTCATTATTAAACATCCCTTCGCTTGTCAGTCGCTTCACGGGCTTGTCCCTCGGCTACCAAAACACATCGTCAGAACCTGGCATTTGAAGTCTCAAATTGGCCACAGCACTTTCAACAACTTTAACAACGAAAAAAAAAAAAGAACAAAAAGATAACTGCGTTCGCCGGGAATCGAACCCGGGGCCCATCGACGCTGAGACTGGTGCTCTGATCGCTCAGACACAGTCACATGGCAACGATGGATTTTACCACTAAACCACAAACGCTTTCTCATTGGCCGAAGCCACTGTCTTAGCAACCGGCGTCCTCGTTGCTTGTGGATGAAAAGTTCTTATCTGGCTAGATATCCCGGACTGTTCTGGACAGTTTGTGCGAATTGTCAGCCAATGAGTAGAGTCTCTTTGGTTGACAACCGAAGTCGGACTTGGCACAAAGTCAGCTTCGGCATTTAGCCAGACATGCATGACTCGCCAAATTGAATCCCCTTCTCTCAACTCCTATCTTTCTTCAATTTCAAACTTTGAACAAACAAATACTAACACTCACCCACTATAGTCCTAGTCGCCGGTCTCCCCCTCGATCAGAAAGTCGTACAGTACGGACCGTTCGTACTCAACAGTCAAGAAGAAGTCTATCAAGCGCTGATGGATTATCAAACGCACTCGAATGGTTTTGAGCGGGCGAAAGGTTGGGAGAGCGAGATTGGGAAGAGTATGGTTCATTGAACAAGGAACTGACTTTTTGTTTTTCGGTTTATGATGGAATGAGCGTTACGAATTCTAGCTGGCTGTGTATGGTAGATAAATGAGTCAAGAGTGAATGTGCTTTCCTCGTGCCTGAAGCGTTTCCTCGGTATCATACTGTTTGAAATAGGAGCTATCTTATTAATGTAAAATGTTCTTCTGCCATCTTGTCTTTTATCCTTTTAATTTTATAGAACTCTGCTAAAACCCGGATACCAATTCTGTTTCTTTCCCCTTTGGGCAGAGCCCTCATGCAGATAGAGAACGAGATCAGGTTAGAGCAGCAGATACTCGTGGCGCAGACTAGAACGAAGTTCAGGGAAAGGGAAAGTTTACGAGCCTACGAATGCATTATCCAACGAACATTCCTAATATGCTTTTAGTCCTCCTCCAGCGTTTTAGCTTTCAGGTACTGGATTTTGACTGTCACCACGTGGGAATCAAGCGTGGCAAGATCCCCGCCTCGCCACCTCGCTCGCTTACAGCCGAATGCTCACTGACGTCTTCGATCCGAGATCTATCTCGACCTCACATTCTCCACTCTAATTCGTGTCCTACACGGGGACGGACAAACAACGACCAACGGAGTAATTGTCAGCCTCACCAATCCCTTCTAAACAGAAACCCAAACACAGATGAGACGGCAATAAGCGATTCCCGATAAATGGTGCCAGCCCACTGGGCGATGTCTGCATCAAATCTCGATCGAAGCTTGAATCCCAGGCTAGACCACCCCACACTTCGCCACTATCCACCAAGCTATGACGATATCGATATCCCGTCAGATGGAGATCGAGTTTTGATATTCCCATGCTTATTACACCACTTCTCATTGGATTGGAGCAAAGTGACAGATGCATGGGAAGAGCCTCGACTTGAGAGATATCAAATCAGCGGGCAACAATTGGTTTGAGAGAACGTTGAAGTGTCGTCAACAGGCCAATCAAGGTGATACAGATTTTACTAGTCTGAACAGCTACTGGTTGACATCCACTCGATCCAAAAGGTACAGTACGAACGTACTTGCTATCCGCACAAACTGCCGTCGAGCTTGAAATTCGAAATGTGGTCCTTCGTCTGAATCGACGAATGAGATCCAAGGCATTTCATCATGAAGTCATGAAGTCATTCCGAGGCAAGGGTCTTGATAACAGTATATCAATTCTTTCTTTTCTTCTGCCATCACACTTCTCTTCCCTCTCCTCCACTTTCCCCCCAAATACATCCAATATATACAATAAAAATGGGTTCAATTCATACTTCCGGCGATCAATATCGCAACTATCAAGACGACAGATCCGCCAAAGCTCAAGATACCATCTACACAGCATCCAATGGCGCTCCAGTCCCTCACCCATACGAATCTCAACGCGCGGGAGAGAATGGTCCTCTCCTCCTCCAAGACTTCCATTTGATCGACCTCCTCTCTCACTTCGACAGAGAGAGAATTCCCGAGCGAGTCGTCCACGCCAAAGGCAGTGGCGCTCATGGCGTATACCGCACAACAGATTCCCTTGAGGATCTCTGCCTCGCGGATATGTTCCAACCAGGAAAGGAATGTCCTGTGACGGTCCGTTTCTCAACTGTTGGTGGCGAGTCTGGCTCTCACGATTGTGCTCGTGACCCACGAGGATTCTCTGTCAAGTTCAGAACGGACGAAGGAAACTGGGATCTTGTTGCGAACAACACTCCTGTCTTTTTCTTGCGCGACCCTGCGAAGTTCCCACACTTCATTCATACGCAGAAGCGCGATCCATCAACACATCTTACGCATGCGGATGACTCGACTATGTTTTGGGACTATCTGTCCCAGAATCCCGAATCCGTCCATCAAGTCATGATTCTGATGGGTGATCGTGGTATCCCAGACGGCTACAGACACATGCACGGGTATCTCGGACACACGGTCAAGCTCACCAACAAGAAGGGCGAATGGGTATACTGCCAATTCCACATGAAGTCCCAACAAGGCGTCAAATTCATCACACAAGAAGACTCCGCCAACTACTCTCCCGATTACTCGCAAAAGGACCTGTACGAGTCCATTGCTAAAGGCGACTTCCCAAAATGGACTCTCGAAGTACAAACCATGACCCCCAAGCAAGCAGAGGAGCTCTGGGAAACCGACAAGATCAACGTCTTCGATCTCACGCACGTCTGGCCACACTCCAAATTCCCCCTCCGCAAAGTCGGCGAATTCGAGCTCAACGAGAATGCAACAAACTACTTCGCTGAGATCGAACAAGTCTGCTTCAACCCTGCACATATGGTTCCCGGCATTGAGCCGTCCGCCGACCCCGTCCTGCAAAGCAGATTGTACTCATACCCGGACACGCACCGCCACCGCGTGGGCGTCAACTACCAGCAACTCCCCGTCAACGCACCGCGCGTCAACTACCGCATGGGCAATTTCCAGCGTGACGGCGCAATGGCGTTCCTGAACCAGGGCGCTCGTCCAAACTACATCTCATCCATAGCACCCATCAGCTTCAAAGAGCGCCAAGTCAACCTCGACAAGACGCACGCGCACTTCGCCAGCAACGCCGTCACATTCCTCTCCGAGATCCGCCCCGAGGATTTCAACGCTCCTCGCACGCTCTGGGAGAAGGTCTTTGATGCTAAAGCCAAGGAGCGCTTTATCTCCAACATTTCCGGGCATATGGAGAATTGCAAGGAAAAAGAAATCATTAAGCGCCAGATTGGCATCTTCCGCGAAGTTAGCGAGGATCTTGCGAGTAGGCTGGAGAAGGCGACGGGTGTGAAGGGGTATCCGGGGATCGCGGATTTGAAGTTCAATGGAACGCATAATGGGATGGCAAGGAAGGAGGGGGATAGAGTGGCGAATGGGATGGGTGCGAAGGGCGTGCAGTTGAGTAGGGGGAATGCGAATGGTGCTCCTGTCAAGGGGACACATGTGGCTGTTGCGAATGGTGGGGTCAACGGGGCTGTGAATGGCGTGCATTGAATGGTGTTTGTTCATGTTGTAGGGGATTAATAATGACTGGAATGGAATTTGCAATGCTTGAATCTGGTCTTGCCTCAGAATGATGTGAGAATCTTCGATCGAAGAGCTCACTCCCGCTCTTTGACAATAATCTTCTGTATATCTCTTTTTACTCGACTTGACTTGATTTTGGGAATGTAGATTCTCAAGTGGGAAAAGGAAGTGAAAAGGCTATGAGATTATTAGTCCCGCGAGACGAAGAAGAACATGGAAGATGACGAGGTAAGAAGGACTTAAGCGAGGCTTAACTTGTAGCAAGCATTAGCTTGATCCAGCTGGAAAATTTGGCTGGGTAGAGTGGGAAAGGAAAGATATAAGGAGTTGATAACTATAGTAAGAAGGGCTTGAAGTCAGAGGTTTGTTTGAATGAGAGAGATTCAGACGTATCGATCGATTCATTGCCGAGAAGGGGAGGGGGAGGCAAATGTGATGGTGTCTAGTGAATTGGAAGGATTTAGAAGAAATAGGCGCAGCGACAGTCGCCCCTTCTCTTTGGCAAAAGGAATAAATGTATTGGAGTAGAGGTGTGCAGAACTTGTCTGGGATAATGTAGGCTTCCAGACTGTTGAAAACCTCCCATCGCTGGCATGACCTCAGTCTTCGTTACAGGACATTAGATCCGAGACATCGAGTAAAAACGTGTAAAAGGACACATCAATATCTGCTTTCCGTTCCCGACAATCCCTCAAAATGGTACAGTATTCTTCGTAATTCTTCACCACACTCTCCCTTACCAGCTCCTTCTCAAGAAACGATCTTAGCCGAGATCTATGCCTCTCCAGGAGACGTTCTGCAACGATAAGGAAAGCGCATTCCATGAAATACTTCGTTTTTGGCCGAGAGTTGAGATCGTCTAACTCGGTAAGGCTCTTTCTTACAAAGCTCCAATGTGACTGCTTCCATGCTGAGCGCCATAATTCCCCCCATTCAGAGCCCGCCACAGCATCATCTTCAAGTGGTTGTGCTCTTATGTCTGCTTCCAGCAGGGTTCTAGTGAGAAAGATCCGGGGTTCCCGAGTCTGACTAGTAATAAAATTAAAAAGACTTTTGCCGTCTGTAGTTGTTACTGTAGTAGATGCTCCGGCCTCTATAAGAAGTATGCTGACTTTCTTGAGCACCGCTGGCGGTCGATAGCCTTGGCCTGTGAGCCAAAGTTCCAATGGAGACTCACCCGCTCTGTTTGGCTTGTTCACATCGACCTGACGATCAATGAACGTCGACGTGACCTTGCAGATCGGAAATTTCGGATTGCCATCCCAACGGTGGTCGTTCCTGGCTAACGCTGTGTGCAAGGGATAATTTCCGTCGGATCCAGAAATATCAAGATAAGCTTCTTCGAGGAGACGTACAAGAAAGCTTTCCGAGCTACAACCTTCCCGAAATATGCCGGTTTTCAGGCAGTAATGCACCAAAGGTTGAGATCGAAACGTGAAGTTTGGATTGGCGCCCAAGATGAGGAATTCTTCCAAACACCGGAATCCAGCGTGCACCCATTCTGGAGCACCCCACTTGCTTGTGT